GGGGCTGCCGGGATTAGAACCGGCGCCCATATGGGATTCCGGCGCGTTCAGGGCGAGAACTTTAGCTGCTAGGCCACGGCGCCAGGCCCTGGAATTACAGTCTTGTGAATGTCCCCCAGATGGGCTGCGTTGGATATGTGAAAGTGACACGTGTTCATGGTGTGGAAATTATGTCTCTGTAAAAAGCAGTTGCTTTTGTAAACATCAGAGTTGACACAAGAGTGTTGAAAAAACTCCCACTTACACCAACAGCATAGATGAAAGGTAGCATTTACTGAGGTAAGTGTGCGGCACTCCCAAAGCGCAGCCGCGCCGCCACACAGCCGGGCCCCCTCTACAGCAAAGCAGCAGGGCCGGGCACGATGCCTTAACTGCCTAAACACTAATCTTGCAAGTGCTGGAATCCCGTATGGGATCATGTCCCGGCAGCCCCACTTCCCATCCTGCTCCCTGCTTGTGGCCTGGGAAGGCAGTGGGGGACGGCCCAAAGCCCTGGGACCCTGCACCCGCGTGGGAGACCCAGAAGAGGCTCCTACCTCCTGGCTTCAGATTGGCTCAGCTCCAGCCATTGCAGCCATTTGGGGAGTGAGCCAACAGATGGATGATCTATCTCTGTCCCCTCTGTAACTGTGTCTCTCAAATAAATGAATCTTTCTAAAAAAATAGCTGGCTGTGGGACCTGGCCCGGTGGCCTAGTGGCTAAAGTCCTTGCCTTGTACACGCCGGATCCCATATGGGCACCAGTTTGTGTCCTGGTGACCCTGCTTCCTATCCAGCTCCCTGCTTGTGTTTTGGAAAAGCCGTTGAGGACAGCCTAAAGCCTTGGGACCCTGCACTCACTTGGAAGACCAGGAGGAGGCTCCGGGTTCCTGGCTTCAGATTGGCTCAGCTCCGGCTGTTGTGGCGACTTGGAAAGTGACTCAGCGGACAGAGGATCTCTGTCTCTCCTCCTCTCTGTATGTCTGACTTTCCAATATATAAATAAATTAATTTAAAAAATGATAGCTGGCTGTGGCTCCTGACTCCTGCTTCCTGCTAATATACCTACTCTAGGGGGCAACAGGTGACAGCTCAGATAGGGGGTTACTCCTGCCACGGGAGACCGGATGGCACTCCTGGCTCCCGTCTGTGGGCCCCTGAGACCAGCCCAGGGCTGTTGGGGACGTGCTGAGAGTGGAGCGGCACCTTAACACTTCTGTTTTCCTACCGCATGAGAACCCTGTGCACTTGAAAATACCAAAGAGACACGCGTGGACACAAGCAGTCACAGGTTCACACAGCCCTCTTCCCACGCACGGGTCCGCTCTTGCGGGACTCGGGGCTGGCTCCTCTGGAACCTGGAAGGAAGGACAGGGTCTGGAGTCCGTCAGCCTGCCCGCCCTGGAGGAACAAGGCGCGTTTGTCCACGGAGGAGCCAGCTAGACCCTAAGGTACACACGGGATGTTCTATGAAGAGAGAGACAGGGGCCCTGCGCTGTGGGAGGAGACAGAGGGCCAAGCCCCTTGGTACCTGTCGGCCTGCCCCTCCTCAGAGCCTCCTGTCTGTGGCTGTGGGGCTGCTGGGACCCCACTCCACAGGCTCTGAGGCCCTGAGAGGGCAGTCATGTCCATGGCCCTTGGGCTCCTGTCCCAGGCTCTGTCCCAAGTGTCTGAGCCGTGGAATGGTAGTGGTGGGTGGGGAGGGTGATGTGTCTTTGGGCTGCCTGGAGGAAAATGTCCCACTTGACCCAGACAGATTGGGGAGGGGGCACAGGGAGGAGATGAAGCCAAGAGCCCAAGTCCCTCTCTGCTGCCAGGGGCGGGAACAATCGGCCCCTGTCCTTGTCCTCCCCACCCCCGGGCTCGCACCGCTTTCATCACTGACCTAAGCCGGGGCCAGAGGCTCGGGGGTGAGCGGGTGGACCGGAGGTCAGGGGTCAGCCCATGACATGCCAGTCTGAGCCAGGAATAGAGCCTGCTGGGGGCCCCGTGGATACTCTCATCTCACCTCCGCCCCGAGGAGAGTCCTGCTAACCCCTAGGATGGCAAGGCCCAGGGCTCCATCAAAGCTGCCAATGGCATTCCAGAAGGATGTAAAAATCCCCCTCCCCACTAGCCCCACTGCTGCCACGGCCTGGGGGAAGCTGCCCCGGAGACCGCTGGCTCCCTTCCCCTGTGCTGCCCTGCTCTCGGCTGCCTGCAGGTGGCAGTGCTGGGGAGGACAGGGCCCCCACCCCCGCGACGGGGCCTCAGGCTCCCTTAGATGCCCACCGACCCCTGCCTTCTCACCTTCCCCTGCTGTGGTCTCCTGTGGGCCTCCGTGCCAGGCAGCTGGAATTAGGGTTATCGATTCTGACACTTGGGCCCCCACATCAATCCCTGACTTTGGGAGCACTCAGTCCACTCGGGGGACAGCTGGGAAGCTGATGAGCAGGCAAACACATATGTGCTTTACTGTATGCATGTGTGAAATGGGGCGACCGGCTCCCAAGCCTTCGTGGTGTCGGGGGCACTTTGCTTGCCACCCCCTGTCTTTCTAAGTCAGGAAATGCGGAGGCCCCTCACACAGCACCCTGCCCCACCCATCACTGGCGACACTCCTGCAGCACCCCTTCCCCTCAACCCCTGCCGCCAGCTGCCTGCTGGTCTCACCTCTCCTTGCATCCTAGACCTGGATGCACTCGGTAAACAAACACCTGCGCCTGAAGGCTTTTGGGAGGAGGTGTGAATGAGAAACAGGATGTCAGCCACGCAGGACAAGGCCCTGGCACTTAGTAACCACTCAGTGTGTGCTGCTAGCCTTGCAAGCACCAATGCCCTGTGCCAAAGATGATCTGAATCCACCCCCACCTGTTCATCCCGGGCTTCTTGGCCTTTACAGGAACCCTTGATGGATGGCTCAATTAGTGAGACACGTGCAGAGGGACAGCCAGGGCCTAGGGGTGCATGGACCGGGGCTCCCCAAGCCAGCAGCAGGCCTGGGACCTCAGTGGAGCTCCGGGCTCAGAAGGTATTTCTCACAGTGGCCACTAGGTGGCAGCACGCCCCCAAGAACCTGGGAGGGCAATGGCCTGGCCGGCTTGGAGATACAATTGGAGGCTGGGAGTCCCCAGTGTCCACCCCAGGGCCACAGTGTCCGCCCCAGGGCTGGGTGGGAGAGTCCTACCTGAGGGATGGACAGGGTAGGGGGCAGCACAGGGGAGACAGTCCACGCACCTGCTGCGCTCAGCTGCAGGAAGTGGGTAGAAGTCCTTAACTCGCCGTCTAGGCTCACCATGGAGGAGGGTGCTCTGGCACATCCCCTAGAGTTGACCCCCTGCACCGCCCCCGCTGCCTGGACCTCTTCCCACATGGGAGCTGGGGGTGGGGTCTTGGCACCATCCCCAGACCTGAGTTGATGTGCCACTGCTGCCAGGAAGCCTTCCCTGGCTTTTGGCCTTGACAGAAGCCCTTCCTCCCAGCCCCTCTGAGACAGGCAGGCTCTCCTTTTCCCCAGAGAGCTAGATCCAACACGTTGGCATTTTTTAGAAAAAGATTTATTTTTATTAGAAAGGTATATCAGATTTACAAAGAGGAGAGACAGAGAGGATCTTCCACCTGCTGGTTTACACTGCCCAAATGGCCCCAATGGGCAGAGCTGAGCCAGGCCTGGGAAAGCAGTAGAAGACAGCCCGAAGTCTTGGGACCCTGTACCCACATGGGAGGCCCGGAAGAACCTGCTGGCTTCAAATTGTCTCAGCTCTGCCCATTGGGACTATTTGGGCAGTGAACCAGCAGCTGGAAGATCTTTCTGTCTCTCCTCTCTGCAATTCTGACTTCCCAATAAAAATAAATAAATCTAAGCTAAAGAATTCAAAAGATGAAACAATGCTGTTATTTTCTTAAAATCTGTGGTGGTAATTACACCCTTGTCTCAGTAAGCCGACTCCATGCTGTGCCTGGTGGACTGTGGGACTCCCTCCTGTAAGCACGGTGAAGCGATGCCCGCTGGCTCTCACAGGAACAGGTACAGGTTGCCAAACCATCAGAGCTTCCGCTCAGCTGTCCTGGTGACACCTGCCGTTGGCTTCCTAGGCTGCTCTGGGAGGTGGGCGTGCCAGGGGCTTACCATCTGAGGGCAGCAGCAGGACAAAGCAACTTACCTGCCACTCAAGGTATGACCCCATTTGGAAATGCCTTCACAGACACAGAAAGGGAATCATTACGGATGTGGCCCAGGGCAACACGTAACGCATCATCTGAACAAAGAGCCAGAAAGGACACCCCAGTGTGAGGTGGAGCTGTCTGGGAAGGCTGCCTGGAATAGGAGAACTAGTACTGTTATGACACAAAGTGGAGGAGGGGGCCTGGGTGTCCTGCCCCTACCCAGAAGGGTTGGGCTTTTGAGCTCTCACTGGCCTTGGTGACAAAGCACCTATACCTGCTTTTCTCTCCCCTGTTGACCTTCTTGAGGTAGGGAGCTAGATGGGGAACGCTCAGATTCCGCAGCTGCCAAAGGCGGGAGATGGGATGCACCAGGGGGTGGAAGCGGCCCTCCTCGTGGCTGCCCCTGTGGCCTGGGGACTGTGGCTAAGGGGGAGCCTTACTCGGGGACCCCATTTCCTCTCAGCACAGGAGAGCAGACAGGGCTCGGATGTGATGGGCCGCTCAGGCTCTGGGTGCGGCAGAAGGCTGCTGCCCTTCCACCTCTCGCCTTACCCCCTGGGCCCCAGGGCACAGGTGTCGGTAGGAGCACCACCGAGGCCTGGCCTCATTTGCTCGGACAGCCACCAGGGACTGTCTGTTTAGGATTAAAGAAGCAAAAGGACCCCAAATCTTACACCTCAATGCTTTTAATTTGCTATGGAGGAAGAACGGCGTAAGGGTGCCGAAGGGAAGGATTTGAAGCTGGCAAGGCCTGCTGAGCTTCGCCCTAGGTAACCCCGCTCCAGGGATGCTGTCGTTGCCACGGCAACCGCCGCGCCAGCGTGTTCCCATGCGTGCCGCGGAGCGTGCCGGGAAGAACCCTGCCCTTCCCAAGATGGCGGCGACGGCTGAGACGCGAGTGCTCCATCCCGAGCTGCTTCCGTGCCCGCGTTTTCGGGCCGACGGCGAGCTTCCGCCAACACCTGTGTCTTCGCCCCGGTTCTAAGAGGCCCGTGAGCCGAGAACGGAAGGGCTGTTTGCGGGGGCCGGACCAAACACCCCGGGGGGACCGGGCGGGACTTCCGTGTCCCACCGGAAGTGACGCGACAGTCGCAGCGGCCGCCAGGTGGAACGGCAGGTGCGTTCAGGTGCCAGGCTGGCGGGGACGCGGCTCTTCCGGTCAGCGACAGGGACAGCTCCCAGGAGAGCCTGGAGACCCGTGGGAGCGGCCTCTGGGGTCTGCGCCCACCGCCCTGGCCTGGAGCGCCCCTTGGTATCCAGTAAGAGTGCCCTGCCGGCCCGAGACGCCCCCGGCCCCCGCTGTCGCCGCTGGGCGCGCCCTGAACCCCACCTTCTCCCTCCCGGCTCCAGCTCGCCGTGCCCCTGCCGAGCTGGGCCGTGGGCCAGCCTGCCCCAACTCTCGCAACCATGTTTGCAGACTTGGATTATGAAATCGAAGAGGATAAACTGTGAGTATTTTGTTTCTCCAAGACGCCCCACCCCCCCTCGCAGGGGTCCAGGCGTCCCAGGGGTCTCTACTCTCGGCTTCTTGGTGGTTCTGCAAATCCTGACTGACAGAGGAGGATCGGGTGTACTGAGGCAGAAAGCGACCCTGTCCTTGCAGGGGGAAGGAGGCTCCGGGCACACGCACAGCTGATGACAATTCAGGGTTGCTCGTGGGGTGACTTGAGGTCGGGTGGCGGGGCGGGGACAGATGGAGCTGGGGCAGTCAGGGAAGGCTTCACCGAGGAAGTGTTGAAGAACAAGCAGAATGTCAGCCATTTCCCTCCCCAGCGAGTGTCATCAGTGGGACAGATTTTCAAAAACCCCACTCTGCAGCACCGACTGCAACCAAGGCTGTTTATTAAGAATTTCATATTTTATTAAGGCAAGAGAGGGACAGGAGAGCTGCATCGGCTGGTTCACTCCGCAGATGGCCACACCAGCCGGAGCCAGTCCAAAGCCAGGAGCTTCTTCCAGGTCTCTAGTGCAGGTGCAGGGCCCTGAGGACGTGGGCCGTCCTCTGCTGCTTTCCAGGCCTCAAGCAGGGAGCTGGATGGGAAGTGGAGCAGCCGGGACACGAACCAGCATTTCTGTGGCATGCTGGTGCTTTTGAGCTGGAGGGGTTAGCCAGTTGAGCCACTTTGGCAGCTCCCAAAATAAATAAATCTTAAACCTATAACGGTGTTCTGGTATAGGATGGCAGTGTCACAGACGGTGGCTCAGGTGCCACGTCACAATGCTGGGCCTGGTGTGCCGGCCTTGGTGTACCCAGCATGTAGGGGTTGCTGGATGTCAGTGTACTGTCAGCAGTGTCTGCTGGGTGAGCACGTGGAAGTATTAACCATGAAATTTTGGCAAGTGCTGGTTTGTGGTAAAAGCCACGGGGTGGAGGTGGCTGGGCAGGGTAGTGGCGAGCCGGGAAGAGGGTGATGGTCGGGAGGGCTTTCTGGAGGAGGTGGCCCTGATGCTCCACCTGTGCCTGAGAAGGTGAGAGCAGCAGAGCTCAGAGAGAGGACACCAGAGGGGCTGCCATGGGCTACCTGGTATCCATGCTTCCTGGGCTCATCCTTCTGCAAGCCATGATGCCGAGAGAGGGACCAGCCTGGACACCACAGGTTGCCAGGCAGGGCTGGGACCTGCTTCCCCAGCTGCCCGTTCCAGGGTGGTGTGGGGTCCTCTCCCGTCACCCGCTGCACCTGCTTTCCTTGGCAGCGGGATCCCCACCGTGCCCGGGAAGGTGACCCTGCAGAAGGACTCCCAGAACCTCATTGGCATCAGCATCGGGGGAGGGGCCCAGTACTGCCCGTGCCTCTACATCGTGCAGGTACTGTGCTCCTGGGAGTCACTCTCCTGCGTGGGTGTGATGAGCGTGGGCTGATCCTCTCCACCCGGGCCCCCACCTCAGGCTGTGCCTCCGTCTGGGCCCCACCTGCTCCTGGGCTGGGCCTGGGTACCCAGCCCTGTGGTACCCTGAGGGCAGGGCCCTGTGTGCACACAGTGGGCATGTGGCATGTGCTGCCCCCCCCCCTCGGGTCAGCAGAAGGAAGCTCTGGGCGCTCACCCGAGTGAAGGCTTGCAGACATGCTGAAACGGCAACCCAAGTTCAGGTGCAGATGACCCCACCTGAGGCTCCTGGCATAGGCCCAGCTGCCATGGCCATTGGGGAGTGAACCAGTGGATAGAAGATCTTTTTCTGTGTGTAACTGTGCCTCTTTCAAATGAATAAATATTTTTTAAAACACTTAATCATTTGAAAGATAGAGTTACAAATAGAGATCTTCCATTTCCTGGTTCACTGCCCTTTGCAGCAATGGCCAGAGCTGAGCTGAGCTGGAGCCAGGAGCTTCTTCAGAGTCTCCCGCGGGAATGCAGGGGCCCACACATGTGGACTGTCCTCCGCTGCTTTCCCGGGTGCATTAGCAGGGAGCTGGATCAGAAGTGGAGCCGCCGGGACTTGAACTGGTGTTACAGGCCATGGCTTAGCTCTCTGCACCACAGTCCCAGTGCTGGTTGTGTATTTATGTGTTGGAGCTGAATGTTCCTCTCTGTCCAGTTTTACTGTTTGTTTCTCTTGCTGTGCCTTTGGTGTAAAAAAAAATTACTGCTGGATCCTATCTTTTTTTTTTTTAAGATTTACTTGTTTTGTCTACGGCCATACCACCCTGAACGCGCCCGATCTTGTCAGATTTACTTGTTTTTATTGGAAAGGCAGATTTACAGAGAGAAGGACAGGAATCTGCTGTCCACTGGTTCACTCCCCACGTGGTCACAGCAGCCAGAGCCGATCCAAAGCCAGGAGCCAAAAGCTTCCAGGTCTCCCACGTGGGTGCAGGGTCCCAAGGGTTTTTTTGTAAAGAGGAAGGTAGAGTGATAGAGGGAGACAGCTCTCATTTGCTGCTTCACTCCCCAGGGGCCTCCATGACTAGGACAGGCCAAAGCCAGGAGTCAGGAACTCCATCCCGGTCCCCGTCCTCTGCGACTCTCCAGGCACATTAGCAGGGAGCTGGATTGGAAGTGGAATAGCCAGGACCCAAACCAGTGTCCATATGGGATGCCGGCACCAGAGGCAAAAGATTAGCTTGCTGTGCCACCGCATCACCCTCTGACATGTTTTTTTTTTTTAGGATTTACTTAATTTTTATTAGAAAGTCACATATACAGAGAGGAGAGACAGAGAGGAAGATCTTTCGTCCATTGATTCACTCCCCAAGTGACCGCAATGGCCAGTGTTGAGCCAATCCAAAGCCAAGAGCCAGGAACTTCCTCCAGGTCTCCTACGCGAGTGCAGGGTCCCAAGGCTTTGGGCCGACCTCGACTGCTTCCCCAGGCCACAAGCAGGGAGCTGGATGGGAAGTGGAGCCACCAGGATTAGAACTGGTGTCCGCGTGGGATCCCAGCGCGTTCAAGATGAGGACTTTAGCCGCTAGGCCACGGTGCTGGGCCCACTGATGAGCTTTTTATGGAAAGCTTAGAAACTAGGCCTGGCATAATGGCTACATTCTCACCTTGCAACTGCCAGGATCCCATATGGGCACCAGTTAATATCCCTGCTACCCCACTTCCCATCCAGCTCCGTGCTTGTGGCCTGGGAAAGCAGTGGAGGACAGCCCAAAGCCTTGGGACCCTGCACCCATGCGTGGGAGATCAGGAGGAAGTTCCTGGCTCCTGGCTTCGAATTGCCTCAGCTCCGACTGTTGTGGCCATTTGAGAGTGAACCAACAGACGGAAGATCTTTTTCTCTGTCTCTCCTCTTTCTAAATCCGCCTTTCCAATAAAAAATAAATAAATCTTTAAAAAAAAAAAAGAGGGCTCGGTGCAATAACTTAGTGGCTGAAGTCCTCACCTTGCACATGCTGGGATCCCATATTAGTGCTGGTTCTAATTTCGTCGTCTGTACTTCCCATCCAGCTCCCTGCCTGTGGCCTGGGAAAGCAGTTAGGACAGCCCAAAGCCTTGGGCTTCTGGTCCCACGTGGGAGAGGCCGAAGAAGCTCCTCGCTTCTAATCAGCAGCTCCGTCCATTGGCGACCATTTGGGGAGTGAATCAACGGATGGAAGCGCTTTCTCTCTGCGTCTCTTTTCCTCTCTGAATCTGCCTTTCCTGTCAAATCTTTAGAAGAAAACAAGCTTAGATACTAAGGATAAGGCAGAAGGAATAGACTACCAGGTCCACTGCTGCTAATTTTATTGTCTTCCTGTTTCTAAAAATAGATTTATTGTTAATTTGGATAGTAGAATGACAGAGAGGAGAAGACAGATCTCCATCCGCTGGTTCGCCCCCACACGCCCACAAGAGCCAGGTCTGGGCCAGCTGCAGTCCCTCGCAGGTGCCTGAGGGCCTGGGCTGTGTACTGCTGCCTCAGGTGCACAAGCAGGAAGCTGGATCGGAAGCAGTTAGGGGACTGAAACTGGGTGGGGGGGCTCTGTGGAGGTGTGGCCTACCCTGGCACACCCTGCCCCCTCCACAGTCGGCTGAGCCCGGGGGGGTTTTCTTTCTGGGTGTGATTTTGCATTTTAGAGTGACTTTGCTATCTCATGCATTTGGCCTTTGCTGGCCACGCCCAGCTCCATGCAGCCAGTGAGCAGGGACACTGTGAAGGGGTCCCCTGGGAGAGGGGGTTTTTGGGGGCCCTCGCTCAGACAACCCTGGTCTGCGCTGTGGGGCCAGTTCCCTGGAGCAACAACCTGGAGGCAGTGTGGCTGTGAGAACAAGCCTACCAGGGGTGCCGTGGAGAAAGTGCTGGTTCTGGCAGCCCGGCCCTGGGTGTGTACCTTGGGGACTGTTGAGTGCCCAGGCCTCACCAGGTCCTCCCCCTGGCCCCCTGCAGGTGTTTGACAACACCCCCGCAGCCCGGGACGGCACGGTGGCTGCGGGTGACGAGATCACGGGTGTCAACGGGCGCTCTATCAAAGGGAAGACCAAGGTGGAGGTGGCGAAGATGATTCAGGAGGTGAAGGTAAGAGTTGAGTAGACCTGGGCTGGGGTGCAGGGGCAAGGCCGGGACCCCTGGTGACCCTTGGTCTCTCCCTCCATCCTGTGGCAGCTTGGGCCTGGGCTGTGGGGCAGGGGCAGGCCCGGAATCCCTGCCGCCCCTCGGTCCCTCTCCCACATCTGCCTCTGGGCCATGTTTAGGCCTTGGTGAGAGAGTGGGCAAGGTGCCCACCCAGGGACCTGGCGCTTGGCAGTGGGGCAGGCTGTGTGTCCTTGGTCAGGGCTGGAGTGGAAGTTCAAGTCCAGAGCGAGCCTCCTCTGGGAGATCAGCAGATGCCCATGACCTCAGCTGGGCCTTGTGTAGTCTCTGAGGGAGAGAAGCACCCCTTTGAATCCAGGGGCTCCTGTGTTCCTGGGGTCACAGGGAGGAAGTGACATGGCGGCCACAACACTGTACCCCTGCAGGGTGGATCGTCATACCTGCCCGACTGCTGGACTGGCTCATTTGGGGTCCCTTCAGGACTCAGTTTTTGAATTGTGTTTTCTGTTTGGCTGCATCCTAGGGATGTATGTGATGGGGCTGCCTCCCGGGGGCGCAGGGTCCTGAGCACTCCTGCCATCCCTGGCTGGCATCAGCCCTGCCCCTTCATTGAGCATGCTCAGACGTGTAGCTGACCGAGGTTGTAGGGTGTGGAGGGATGTTCTGTGCAGGGGTGTGTGGTGCGGGGGAACGGGGTGCAGGACACCAAAGAGGCCAGTGTGCTCCATGGTGGCCATGTCACCCTGGGCAGACAGGGTCCCACACAGGCTGTGTCCCTCTGCGACCAAGGCCCCTTGGGCCCAGGCTGGGCTTGTGACACACAGCTGGGCAAGGTGTGTGATAGTCGCCTGGTGGTCTTACAGGGGGAGGTGACCATTCACTACAACAAGCTGCAAGCTGACCCCAAGCAGGGCATGTCCCTGGACATAGGTAAGTGTCCCCTTGGGGACAGTGCAGCCACAGCCCTGGGGCTCTGGGCTCAGACCTCCTGAGCAGGGCCATCTGGAGGGGCTGTTTCAGATCCTGTCCCTCGGTCCTTACTGCCCCAGGTCTACCCCAGCTACCCCATCCATGACCTCCAGGACTCAGCTGTCCCTCGCCTGCACGCCTGATGCCGCTCGTAGGCTTAGGGTCAGCTGTACCCCTGGCGTTGAACAGAGGAGCCCTTCCCCCTCTGCCTGCCCTCTCCCAGATAAGGCATTGGGCCTAGTTCTGCAGAAACCAAAATCTAGGAGTGGCCGAAGCGGGCCCCAGGCCCTGTGGGACCCCCTGCCCCTCATGGGGCTAACACTGCAGCCCCTTTCCAACCCCAGGGCCAGAGCTAACGCCTGGTGTGTAGCGAGTGGCATAGGTATACTGAGCCAACCCAGATTTTGCTCCAAATCCTTGCAGCCGGGGCCCTTCCAGATGCTGTAGTGACTGGGTCTGGGGCCAGGTCACTGGTCACTCCTGGGACCACTGCTCTGACATAGCTGGCCTGGGGACTTGAGCCCTTCCCCCTGCCCCACCTGTCCATCCTAGCACCTAACCACAGTGCAGCCCCTTGGCCCCCTGCTGGCCACTGCCAGCGAGCTGCGATGAGGCTGGGGACCCAGCTGCTGCCTTTTCTCACCTGGCCCAGTGTTGAAGAAAGTCAAGCACCGGTTGGTAGAGAACATGAGCTCGGGGACAGCCGATGCTCTGGGCCTGAGCCGAGCCATCCTGTGCAACGGTGAGTCCTTGCCTGGCGCCCCACCCCCCACCCTCGCCCAGGAAGCTGGTGTGTGAGCCTCTCTCTTCCCGGAGGGCTGGTCACGCAGCGCGGCCTCCCAGCTCCTGGAGTGTCCATAGCTGTCCCCCCCCGCCCCGGGCCAGTCTGTGAGCAGGTGTCCTTTCCTTAGGATCAGGAGCCTGCCTCTCATGGGGCGGGGCCAGCACCACCTGCTTCAGCACTGCCCACATTTCTCCAGGAGGTGGCGCTGATGCCCCTTCCCAGGCAGGGGCAGCTGCCCGTCAGCCCGCATGCCAGCATGCACACAGACACGCAGGCACACTGGCCAGGGTTATAAATAGCGTTCCCACAGTGGGGGTGGATATAAATACCTCCAGGAGCCGGGGGTTGGGGGCTGCTATTCTGGGCCTGGGGCCCATAAACCCTGTTTCTGTAGTTACCGTGAGCTGCGATGGAATTGGCACTGGCTGTTGTGTTTTTCCCCCCAAACCTTGCAATTTCTCAGCCGCAAATAGAGGTTCTAAAATTGAAGTTGTCATAATGTCCCGTGACCCAGCTAAAAACAAGCCCTGGTGTGCGCTGACGTGGCTGGCGTGGTGCTGGCAGGGGCCCCACGGAGCCAGGCCTGGGATTTGTGAGGTGCCCCTTCCTCCCCAGTTGCCATCTGTCCTGCCCAAATGGGGCCTAGGCTCTGCCCCATCCGCACCCTTCCCTCTTGCTCCCTAGAGGCCTTGACCCAGGTGGGCAGTGGGGACACGAGCCCTGAGGGTGATGTGGGGGTCACTGTGCCTCTCTGCCTCATCTCCTCCAACAAGGAGATGCAGCGTTGTCTCAGGCTGACCATGTCAAGAAGCCCTTGGCAGACGCTGTGCCTCACGCATGCCTCTGGCCGGGTGAGCTCCTGAGGGGGCTGTGTGCCTACCTCTCAGGGTGCCAGGAGCCCCACATGTCTTGCTGGGCCGCTGCGCACCCACCAGGTCCTGAGGAAAGGAGCTGCTCCACCTTCATGGCACCTGCTTGCCCTTCCATTGCTGTTCTTGGCCCCTGCTGTGTCCCCGTGTCCCCACTGTCTCACTGCTGCCAGTCTTGGCTGTCAAGCAGCCCACCAGGGCCTGCTCCGTGGCCAGCACTCAGCAGGTGCTGACCGGAGCCTGCTGGGCCTGCCTGTTCCTGCCAGGGCCCAGCTCTAGTTGAAGCCCTTCCTGAATTTCTCCATGTTGCCCGGTCACCGCCCTGACTGGGCCAGCCTGGGCCTGACTGGGGCAGGGGCAGCTGTGTGCCCCCACACTGGTCCCTGCTGTCTCCGCTAGCCCAGCATTAGCCTGGGAGTCTTGACTGCGGGGCCTGGGTTCATGGGGCTGTGGGCACTGCCTGACCATCTTCCACTGACTGTCATGCTCTTGTCCCCGCTGCTCCTTGGACTTGTCCTGGCCCAGGGCTGGGGCCGCTCTCCTGCGTGCTTGCCTTTCAGGGACAGGCTGTTCGCAGACGGCCTTGAAGCCAGGCTCACAGTGCCAGGGGGCCAGTCACATGGAGTCTGCTCTTGGGAGGGTGGGGGTACTGTCCCCAGCCCTGTCCTTCCCTGGCTTGGGGACATGGCAGTGCCTCACCTTTTCCCCGCGTCCCCACAGATGGGCTCGTCAAGCGACTGGAGGAGCTGGAGCGGACAGCCGAGCTCTACAGAGGTGGGTGCTGCTGGGCCTGCGGGAGGCTCTGAATATCAGTGGCTTCCCCTATAACCCCTCATTCCCTCACAGCTTGTGAGTCCTGCCCCTGTCCTCTGCGGGCTCCAGGTTCAGCCCCAGCACCCTGGGCCATTCCGCCCCTGGCCAAGCCATCCCCTTTCCCTCAGCCATGCTGTCCCCCATCCCTCGTCCATGCCATCCCCCTGTCCCCCAGCCATGCCGTCCCCCCGGCCATGCCCTGCCCCATGTCCCAGCCATGCCGTCCCCTGTCCCCCGTCCCCCAGCCATGCTCTGCCCCATGTCCCAGCCATGCTGTCCTCCATTCTCCTGCAGGAATGACGGAACATGCCAAGAATCTGCTGCGGGCCTTCTATGAGCTGTCGCAGACCCACCGGGGTAACTTGTCCCCTGGCCTGCCGCCCTGCTCGGGGATCAGTGTCTCCTGTACTATGGGGTCATGGCTGAGCTGCCTCCGGCCTGCCCATACCCATGTCAGCTTTGGCAGGGCCTGGCCTGGGGTGGGGCGATGATGGGCCTGTGGGGAGTGGTCTCCATTCCCACAGCCCTGTAGCCAGGTAGGCCAGCTGAGCTGGCTCCTTTCCAGTTGAGAGCTTGGAGCCTGGGCATAGGAAGTGGGCACCCAGAGGCAGACCCCTCCTGTGGTCTGGCACTGTTGGGATGGGGACCAGTGCCCAGGGGGTGGGCTGGAGGAGGGGCTGGGACCCAGGCAGGAGTAGACGAGGCCCTGCCCCTAACAGGAGGGGGCCGCCTGTCCCCAGGAGGACCCCACACAGACCCTGCCTGCAGCCCACCTTGCCCTGCACCATGCCCCAGCAGACCACCAGCTTCCCCATGTGGTGGGGGGGCCGCCTTCAGGGCCCCCTTGTCCTGCAGCCTTTGGGGACGTGTTCTCCGTGATTGGGGTGCGGGAGCCTCAGCCAGCTGCGAGTGAGGCGTTTGTGAAGTTTGCTGACGCCCACCGCAGCATTGAGAAGTTCGGCATCCGGCTCCTGAAGACCATCAAGCCGGTAGGCCCCACCAGGCGGGCCGTGAGGCGAGTGGATGCCAGGGTGTGGGGTGTGGCCTGGGCCAGGGCCTCAGGAGCACCCTACTTCCGCAGATGCTGACAGACCTTAATACGTACCTCAACAAGGCTATCCCGGACACACGCCTCACCATTAAGAAGTACCTGGACGTGAAGTTTGAGTACCTGGTGAGCACCTGTCTGCCTTCACCATGCCCATCTGTCACGCCACACAGCAGGTGCAGGTGGACGGGAGGTGTGGGCCAGCAGTACCAAGGCCCCGCCTGGTGCGGTCACCATTACTGAGGCTGTGGGCAGGGCGGGGATGGGGCTGGGCACAGCAGGGTTCTGGTGCTGTGCCCATAGGCAGGGCCAGCCATCAGGTGCTTTGCCTGGGGCCTGTTGTCCCAGAGCCCACCATGGGGGAGGAGTGCCCACCCCCTCTGCGCCTGCCACCACCTGCCTCCTGTGTCCCGGCTGGACACGCACAGGACCCAGGAGGCTTCCCGGGGAGCTGGGGACAGGAGAGCTGGGCTGGACGGTGGCGGCTGCTCTGACTGCTGGCCTCCCTCCCGCAGTCCTACTGCTTGAAGGTGAAGGAGATGGACGACGAGGAGTACAGCTACATTGTGAGTGGCGCACAGCAGGGCTGCCCTGGCCTGGGGGTGTGCATCCCCTTGCTCCCACCTGTCTCAGAGGCCCCAGAGTGGCCTGGGCCTGCGGGGGTGTCAGGTGGGTCAGGCCAGCCTGGAGGTGCTGGGGAGTGCAGCTGGACTCTGCCCATCTGTCATTCAGTACCCCGTGAGCTCGGGCTGCGGCCTTGGTCTTGTGTACCTTCCTCCTAAAGCAGCGATCGCTGGCGTCTGTCGGGGGAGCCAGCCCTCAGCCTTCCTGCCCCTTGGGTCTCTTGTCCCCACACCCCTGTGGCAGCAGGGTCCCTGATGTTCCCTGTCTGCGTCCCAGGCCCTGGGGGAGCCCCTGTACCGTGTGAGCACGGGCAACTACGAGTACCGCCTGATCCTGCGCTGCCGCCAGGAGGCTCGCGCCCGCTTCTCACAGATGCGCAAGGACGTGCTGGAGAAGATGGAACTGCTGGACCAGAAGCACGGTGAGGGCGGGCCGAGCCCTGCTTGCAGCCCATTTCACAAATGGCACGGGCTGAGGTGCAGGCAGGCTCCCCTTGGCATCTTGAGTCAGCTGGCAGCAGCCCACCCCAGCCCTGTTTTGTGTCCTGGCTGGTGGGCTTCACTGCTCTGCCTCCCCAGGGCCTAAGGGGGCGGGGGTGTCCGGGTGGCCGCAGGCAGAGGCAGCCCAGCCACTGTGTGCTGGCCTTTTCTGTCCAGTCCAGGACATCGTGTTCCAGCTGCAGCGCTTCGTGTCCACCATGTCCAAGTACTACAATGACTGCTACGCTGTGCTGCGCCACGCAGATGTGTTCCCCATCGAGGTAGACCTGGCACACACCACACTGGCCTACGGCCCCAGCCAGGGTGTGTTCACCGATGGCGAGGAGGACGAGGAAGAGGAGGAGGACGCAGTGGCTGGAGAGCCAGCCAGGGACACGTGCGGGGTCGCAGGGCCCCTGGATAAGGGTGGGAGCTGGAGTGACTCCTGAGTCCCTGGGGGCGCCCCAAAGGGGGCAGGCAGCCAGGAGCAGGGCAGGGCCACAGTCGCAGCACGGATGGGTGGCGCATAAAGGCCTGCTGGCTCGAGGCGCCGCCTCCCTGCTCCTCTGTCCTGCAGCGAACTGGGCGGACCTGGACTCCTGCCCGGGAAGGCCCTGGGACCCTCAGCCTGCCCTTCCCTGCCTCCTGGCTATAGGGAGAGCTCAGGCCCTGCAGCTGCCTGGGGATGGACAGTGGGCAGAACGGGTGTGGGGACTGGTGTCCGTGGCACCTTTGCTGCCTCCAGCACACCCACTACCTACCAGGAGTGAGGCTGAGGTGGATTGCACAGCGGGGCTGGTGTCTCCTCTGCCCCGGCCCCAGGCTGGTCCCGCCATATAGTGGCTGTCATTTATCTTGTCCCCAGCCTCGCCACGTGTGTTTAGGGTGGGGCACTGGGCCCGTACGGAATAAACAAACCCAGACACAGCCAGGTTCTTGGCAATGGCCTCAGCCCCTCCCCATCTGCCTGCTGGGACTGCAGGGTGGGGGCTGGTGGCATGCGCGGGCATCCCTGTGAGCTGGGGACATGGATGCAAGATCCAGAGAGGCTGCCCGCTGAGGGCTGTGCCATGCAGGGATGTGGTGCCCGCTGAGGGCTGTGCCATGCAGGGATGTGGTGCCCACTGGAGGCTGTGCCATGCAGGGATGGGGGATTTGGCCTTAGATCTGGTAAGGGAGATGGCTGTTTGAGGGGCCTGTCCAGCCTAGGGCCAAGGATGGGGCCTGGGTACACTGCACGTTGCTGGAAGTGGTTCCATGCACCCTCCCCTGGCCTGTCAGAACAAGGGGACCACTTCAGAGATGGACACAGTGCAGGGTGGAAGAGCCAGATTGGGGTGGCAGCGGGGTGGCAGCTGCGCTGAAATAGTCCTCAGCTGGAGGGATAGGCTTGGCTGCCAGGCGGCCATCCCACCTCTCCATGGAGGCCAAGACAGGCCAGCACCCACTGGCCTGGCTTCTGGTCAAGGCTCTGTGACCCGGAGTGAGTTCCCAACTTCCACGCCTCAGTTTCCCTGACTGAAGTGGCTGTTTCCACGCCTACCTCACCAGTCATGTGAGCTGCCTCAGGGCCTGTGGGACCATAGGGACTACAGTCACACCCTGTGGAGCAGGGCGCTGTCGGGTAGTGACATCAGCCAGGTGCTCATGGGGCTCCCTGCCCTGGGGCCCAGCTGGACAGGTGAGAGGAGCAGGGCGTGAACAGTGGACAGGCTGTGTCCTACCCCTTGGGGCCTGCTTGTTGCACATAGGAACAGGCGAGGCAGAGCAAGGGGTACGTGCAATTCAGACAGAGTGAAGCCACAGGGGACCCCTTACAGAAGGCAGGTGCATGGGACAGAAGATGACGGTGCTGTGCCCACAATGCCAGGGCATCACAGGAACAATGCCTTGAATGAAGTCCCTGGACAGACCTCGCTCCAGCATCCCTTCAGCTGTCCTCTACACAGGTGCCCACCAGGGGGCGCACAAGGTGCCTGGTCACACTGTCCTGCCCAGCAGTTCCGAGTCTCAGGAAAAAGCCCAGCTTGTGGGCCAGGAGTGAACCCCTACCTGCCTTAGGCTCCAGGGGCTGCAGCCCTGGCCACCCCTACGGTGGGAGGGGATGAGAGGTAGCCAGTGGAGTCCACCAGCCTTGCTGTCTGCAGGGAAATGGCCTGCCTTCACCCCATCCCCACTCATCTCTGACTCCCCCAGCCCTCAAGGCAGCTCCTGAGGCCTTGGGGAGACCTCTAGGGTCACCCCACCTCCCACTCCTCCCCAGGAAGCCCTACGGCAGGCGCAGAAACAGGACTTGGGGCTCAAGAGGGCTTTTATCAACAGTGGGGACTGGTGAGGTCTGTAGGATGCTAGTGCCCAGCCTTGCAGTGCAGGCTCAGGTTGCCAGCCCCCCATTCCTACCCTGCGCTACACAGACCCAGACTCTGGCCCACCTTCTGCCTCTGCCTTGGGCTCCCCGGTCCCAGCGCTTGCCTCCTCCAGGGTCTCAAGGCTGCAGGGCGGCTCTGGACTGACCATAGGGGGCTCCGAGTCCACATCCACTTCCGCCTCTGCCTCCTCGGTGTCACTGGCTTCACCCTCAGAGCCCGGGCCCGAGGGGGCATCCTGGGAGCCACTGGGGTGACGGCGTAGGCAGCACTTGGTGGCCACAGCCATGAAGATGCCGGCCAGGGCCACCTCGGAGCCGGCCAGGTAGAAGATGAGCTCGTAGTTCTTGAGTACATCCACCAGGCGGCCTGCAGGGAAGGTTTGGGCAGTCAGGGCCTGGGGCTTGCAGCCCAAGGGTGTCCCATTAGCCCTTATTCCCACTTTACAGGGCCAGGTACCCCGCAGGCTCCACCTTCTGGGCCAGCGCCTGTGATGCCAGCATCCCACCCCTTCCAGTCCCTGCTGCTCCACCTCTGGTCCAGCGCCTCACTCATGTGCTCTGGGGTCTCCCAGTTGGCTCTCCACCCCAGCACCCCTGCACTTTTCCCCTTGTCTTGTCCTGCCAGCTGCACTTGTCCCTGCTCCTATTCACTCTACCCAGCTCTGTAGCACCCTTGGATGAGCACTCTGCCCACTGGGTCAGGGCCAAAGAAAAAGTGTGTGTGTTGGGGGGTGCTGGTGCAATTGCTCAGTGGCTAAATCCTCGCCCTGGGATTCCATATGGGCACCAGTTTGTGTCTGAGGCCAAGGTTGTAGGGCAGACCCAGAGAGGGCCAGCAGATATGGGGAGGGACTTCACTTCCCATCCAGCTCCCTGCTTGTGGCCTAGGAAGGCAGTGGAGGACGGCCCAAAGCCCTGGGACCCTGCATCTGCATGGGAGACCAGGAAGAAGCTCCTGGCTCCTGGCTTCGGATCAGCTCAGCTCCAGTCATTGCAGTTTCCCTCTACTGCAGAAGTGAACCAGCAGGTGGAAGATAATTCTCTGCATAAATCTGAACTGCCTTTCCAAGAAAAAAAAAAACTTTAGAATTTTCAAATTACATTTATTGGAAAGGCAAGTACACAGAGAGGGGAGACAGTAAGATCCTCCATCTGATGGTTCACTCCCCAAGTGGCCGCAATGAGTGGCGCTGAGCCAATCCGAAGCCAGAAGTCTCTTGGGTCTCCCATGCAGGTGCAGGGTCTCAAGGCTTTGGGCATCCTTGACTGCTTTCCCAGGCCACAAGCAAGGAGCTGGATGGGAAGTGGGGCTGCCGGGATTCGAACCAATGCCCATATGGGATCCTGGCACATTTGAGGAGAGGACATTCGGAGCCCCATTAAGACTTCACCAGAGGCTCTGCCCTTACAATGTTGTGATTTTGAGATGAAGTAAAAAGTCACTAATTTACTCTAATTGGGGGGAAAGGTCATTTTACTTTAAACGAAAAGTATGAATGATAGGCAGTTTGTTGGGGGAGAATGCAATCTAGGCTATCATGCTGGGCCCCAAAGTAATTTTTTAAAAGGCAGAGGTGTATCCCTGAGCGTGTGGGTGGGCTGGGAGCTGGGCTCAAGGCCATGACACGCAGTGTTCATAGAAACCACCGAGCACAGCCAGGTCAGCTTGAGCCCCCCAAGAGCAGCAGAGGTGGCCTCCCTGTCACTGTCTTTGTGCTTACACACAGCCTGCCAGTCCAGGGAGACCCCTGTGTACCCTACAGCCTGCCAGGGTTCCTGCTTGTCCAACCCGCTCCAGGACCCCGTGGGTCCCCTCCTACTGCTCTAGTGATGGACACTTTCTGAAGCAGAGAGGGATGCCCCTGTGCCCCTCCCGGGGGGTTCTGCACCTGCCCTGGTCGCCAGGTGCAGTGCCCAGCCTGCTCAGTGCCTTTAGCATGGGCGGGATGTAAACTACACTCCCTGTGCTGAGCCCCATACCTTGGTTTCCCCATCTGCGAACCAAGAAATTGCCACCTACCCCTCACTGGGCCTCTGTGCCAGCTGGCCAAGGCAGCAGCCAGCTCTTCAGCACTGCTGGTTCCCTCCTAGTGTGTTCCCTGGCTTTCCTATGCCCACCTGGTGCCCCGGCTCTGAGCAGGGGTCCCCCACCTCCCAGCCACTCGGCGTGCCCTGCAGTTGGGGTGCGATTCCTTCTCCTCATGCTCTCCCTCCTCCCACCCCTTTGAGGCGCACCTGCAGAAGGCGGTCCGATGAGCACAGCCACAGCCTCCACGAGCAGCACCAGGCCCAGCGCACTGGGGAAGCGGGGAGCACCCACTGTGGCCATAAGCACCTCAAACTGCAGTGCACCCACCATGCCATAGGAAAGGCCGAAGGCCACGCAGAAGGCCACCAGGGCACTGTAGGAGCGGGCACGTGCACTGCACAGATCTGTGAGCCCGTTGGCCAGCAGTGCCAGGCTGAAGAGGTAAGGCACGTGTGGCCGCAGACGCGGCAGCCCTGCCAGTGCACCACATGCCGGGCGCGCCACGATGTCCACAAAGCCCACGATGGACAGCAGGAAGGCAGCTTCGGCGTCAGGCACACCCGCATCCTTAGCATAGTTCACCAGCAGGATGGCGGGCACGAAAAGGCCGAGCGCCATCAGGAACTTGGTGACCACGTATACGACAAAGGCACGGTCGGCGCACACGGTCACGTCCAGCAGGCGCCGGCGTTGCCGGCCGCTAGAGGACATCCCAGCCTCCGCCTCCCCGGGGCCGTCGGCACCTGTGCCGTGCTCCGCCTGGTCTTCGTCCGCGTCCTCCTCCTGGCTGCGGTCCCCATGTGGTGGCGGTGGCGGGGCGCCAGGCCCAGGCGGCGGCCGCATGACAGCGCCACACGCACAGCAGTGCAGCAGGAGGCCGCCCAGCAGCAGAAAGCCACCGCGCCAGCCGAAGCGCTCCAGCAGCAGCTGGCCAAGCGGCGACAGCGCCGACAAGAACACCGGGCTGCCCGCCGCCGCCAGCCCGTTGGCCAGAGGCCGCCGCCTCTCGAAGTACAGTCCCAGCATGATGAGCGATGGCTGGAAGTTGAGGGCCAGGCCAAGGCCTGCGGGGCGGGGCGAGGCAAGGTGTGGTGTGCATGCGGGGCTCCAGGCCCTGACCCTTCCCCACCACTCAGAGGCTGGGCACCAGCAGCCAGGCCTCCCGCCCCAGGTGTCCGGCCCTCACCTGTGAGCACGCCCGCCGATAGGTACAGCTCCACGAGGCGCGTGGAGAAGGAAGCCAGGACCATGCCCGCCGAGGCCAACAGCCCGCCCACTAGCATCACCGGGCGGCAGCCAAAGCGGGTCACGAGGATGCTGGACACGGGGCCTGAGGGCAGGGCAGGTTCAGAGCCATTGGGACTGACCAAGGAGAGGCTGTGTTCTGGCCTAGAGCCCCACTCCCCACCGCTCATGAGAACCGAGGATTGGAAGGTGGAAGAGGCTAGGTGTCCTCGCCTGTGTCATGCGTGGGAGTGGGGGGACACTTTGGATCTGCAGAGCCCTGCCTGGGTTTGGGGGCTTTGAGGAGTCTCCGTCTGGTGCTGGGGGGGCCAGCCCTGGGAAGGAGGGACCCCGCCAGGGATCCCCTTGATGCTCCCACCCACAGCTGTTGCACTCCAGGAGGGGCTCCGTGGCTGCTGACTGGTTACATCCTTGGTCTGCCTGCCTTCCTGCCTGCCTGCCTGCCTGCCTTCCTTCCTCCCTTTTCTTCCAGGGTTTCTGGGCCGTTCCAGGGGTGGGGGTGGGGTGGGGACTGAAGAGGTGCCAACCTGTGCCATAGAGCATGGCCAGCATGATGGAGGACACCCAGGCCGTGTCACTGTAGCCGGCACCAAAGTCCTGCTTGAGTGCACGGAAGAAGACGCTCACAGCCTTGGGGAAGGCGTAGGCGAAGCCTGTGACCACGAAGCAGGCGCCCAGCACCACCCAGCCCCAGCCACCATCCGGGGGGCCTGCGCCCCGGCGGGGGCCACCAGCGCCCATCGCTTCTGCTTCTGCTGGGGATGGGGAGGGGGACAAGAGAGAGTAGTTGGGTTGGATGGAGACCCTTGTGGAGGAGGCAAAGCTTACCCCCTCCCCCACCTCAGCCCCCCACTCTGGTGTCTGCCCCACTCCCACGCTGGCAAGGAGCTGTAAAGGTTCCCACCTGGGCCTGGACCTCTGGGAAGGGCGCTTGTTGGGGCTCAGGACCTAGTGATAAAAGGAGGAAAGCTGTGGTGAGTGTCAGAGCCTGCCAGCTATCGTGTATCCAGAGGTGTGTGTCCACCGGCTAATCACAGGGTGGGTCTGTGTGCATGCTGTTTCCCTCTTTGGCTCGCCCTCAGTCCTAGTTGTTCTCAATGGCCAAGGGAGGCCAGGAGGGCAAGGCCACATTACAGCAGGAGCTAGGAGCTGAGTTCCAGTTCAGCCCAGTCCAGCTCAGCCCAGCTGGGAGTTTGCTCTGTATCTTAAGACTACTGAGCCTGTGAGATGGGGGATTCATCTCCCCACCAAGGTCCACTGCAGCTTGGGAAAGGCAGGGATGGGGCCTGGAGCTGGGGCTCCACTGGACAAGTGGGGACTGTGAAAGGGGTGCTGGGAGAGAGGCCTGCCCCACGCACTTGCAGCTCCAGCTCCTCACTACATGACCCCTGGCAGAGGGCTCAGCCTCAGAGGCTGGTGCAGCAGCCCAGGGCTGGCTGGCAACCTGGGACTCAGCATGGCCACCTCCCCTCCTGCAGGGCCTTGGCACTCTGTGGGGCCAGGTTCCCTGCCTGAGCCCTCGCTATCACTGGGGACAGGGAGTGGCAGGTAGTCCCTGGCTGTTTCAACCCCACACTCACCTGGGCCCTCCTTGGGGGTCCTGGTCCAGCTTCATATCTCCTGGGGCCTGCAGGGAGGGGCCACTGCACCTGCTGTTTGTCCTGGTGGAGTTGGGTTGTCCACAGGCAGGCAGGATGCTGGACTGACTGTCCCCTCCCCCAGATGGCGGGCCTGCGCTGTGCCACCCTGCTAAGAGGCTTTTGTCCAGGAAGGGGGAGGACTGAGCTCAGCCTCCACATGGGGCAGTACTCCTTGTACTGTGCTGCACCCATCCTGAATGGGCTCAGAGACCCCCTGCCCACCTGCAGGAACCCTGGGCTTTGGATCTGCAGAGCCCTTCCTGGGTTTGGGGGCTTTAGGGAGTCCCAGTTTGGTGTTGGGGGGCCATCCCTGGGAAAGAGGGACCCCGTCAGGTCCCTCATCTCCTTGATACTCCCACCCACAGCTGCTACATTCCAGGAGGGGCTCTGTGGCTTCCCCTGGATCAGACTAATCCAGCTCTGAGAGCCTGGGAATGAAGGAGGCAGACACAAAGGGTGCTGTGTCCCTGGCCACCTGAAGGCAACCTGCAGGGGTGAGGGCAGAAGGGAGCTCCTGAGCCTGAGCCACCTTCCCTCCCTCTCTGTTGGGAGTGGCCCCTGCTTCCTGAGTCACGGGGCTGGGCTGCCTGTAGGGGCTGCGGCCTGATGGGGGGGCTCCCTTAGGCTCCACTCCCCACTGGGACCCTGCAGCTTCAGACCCCCAATCAGACACTACCACTTCCTGCTGCAGTGTCCACTGCTTTTATTCCTCACCATTTACAAAAATTAACTGGGCACATGTGGCGGGGAGGTACATGGGGTGCCCGCCTTCTGGTAGGGGACACCAAGTATGGGAAACAGAGAAGGGGTCAGCGGCTGGGGGGTGCAGGGCAGGCCTCCCGGGCAGAGTTCCACAGGCTGGCTGGGAAGGAAGGAGTATGCCCCGTGCTTCACAGACCGGCCCCGGGCTGGGCACAGGGAGGTGGCAGGGAGGGCAGCTACCCTACTTCATCAGGCCCGGCCACAGGGATCTGCCAGTGCTACTATTGTCGCCGCCAGCTCCAGTCCCAGGTGGGTACAGTGCCCAAGTTGAGAGTCCTGGGGTCAGCCTCAGCGGATGAGGGGTGCTGAGCGGTCGTTGGTCACCGTGGGACGTAGCTTGACGGTGGCGAAGGGGTTCGTGCCCCTGTGGGGAGAGAGGTGGGAGTGAAGGGATGGCAAGGAGGGCAGCTGGGCCAGTGCCCACCCTTGTCCCCCTCCCTGGGGCAGGCACTCACCGTGGGAAGAGCTCCGGGGGCTGCTGCTCCAAGGCCATCAGTTTCTGGGAGTGAGGGGTACACAGTGGGTAGTGGTTAGGAGGGGCTCTGCCAGTGCTGTCCCCAGGAGACCCTGCTCCATGGCCCCTAGGCTCCGCATCTACGATGTCATCTCTGAGAAACTTCTGGGCCACAGACTGCCTCCTGAGATCCATGCATCAAATACAGGGTGATGCCTCCACCACTGGGGAGGTGTCTCATGCCCTGCCAAGTCTCCCCCACACTCCTGCCATTTCCCAACCCTTCCTCCCTCTAGCCCAGACCCCATGGTGGTCCCTTGTACACGCCCTGCACATATGAAGGTCACCTGGCCTCCTGCCCTCCCTTCCCCCTCAACCCCCAGCTGCAGCCCAGCTGGGACTGACCTTGACATCACCGGCTATACCCGTGCCGCCCATGCTGCCCCGCCGGCTATCAGGCAAGGGCGTGGGCACGGGGCTCGGGACTCTGCTCGGGGTCCGTGAGCGGGGTTGGCCATCCCAGTACTCAGAGGGCACCGTGGAGCTGGCTGGCCGGTCCAGGAGGTCATCGAGGCTGTGGCTGCCGCGGAGTGGGTAGGACCTGAGTCCAGAGACGTGGAAGGCAGGGCGTTGGGCAGGCCCCGCACCTGTGTTGGGAGGAGCCGGGGTCCCAGGGAGTGCTGGGGGCGCAGGGGAGGTCTGCTTTTCCATCCCTACCCTGCCCGCCCAGGTACCTGGAGGAGAGCTCATTGGTGGGGACCATGGGGTTCATGGAGGCCATGGGGCTCAAGGGCTTCAGGGGGTTCATGGGCACCTCCTCCAGGGGCTTCACATAGGCCTCAGGGAACCAGCCGCTCCTGGGGGTGGAAGTGCAAGGTCTGTGAGGTGCGGCATCGATCAGCAGCTGGGAGAGGAGTGAAGGGCACTACATGCCTGGCCTTGCTGCAGGGTCTGGTGGATACCAACTCAGCTCGTTCCATAGAGGAGGCCTTTCCCGGCCTTCGAGGCCTCCTGGAGCCTGGCCCTGACCCACCTGTCACACCAGGGCCTGGGGCCCCTGAGGGAGGAAGAACTGGAGTGCTGAGAAAGAAAGGTACCTGTTTCCAGGCCATTGGAGACTGGGGGAATGTCCCACCAGGCTCCTCACCCTCCTCATGAGCCCCACGCCAGAGGCTCCTGGCCAGTGGGCAAGTAGACAGGGATGAAGTTCTGTGCTTCTGGATTCTGCCTGCCTAGCTTTGGCTGTTACAGGTGCTTGGGGGAGTGAACCAGCAAGAGGAGGAAAAAGATGGCTACAAGACCGTGAGCAGAGGGTGCCCATGATGGAGACAGGTGGGTGTGGGAGGCACCCCCCCGCCCTGGGACCCCTCCTCCAGAGCGCAGAGGCCCAGCACAAAGCTTGTTACTGTACCTGCCCAGGGCTGGACAGGAAGGGGGACCACATCTGGCCACAGGGGCACCCGGGGCAGTGCCCCACACCGCCCACCTATGACACTGTCAGCCAAGGGGGCCGCATCTTGTGTCCTCTCACGGTGGTACAGGTCCCTTCTACTTTACCTCACAGCACCTACTGTCCTTGAACCTGGCCTGTACCTCCCTGACCGCCCAACGAGACAGCACATGTCATGGGTCGGAGTGGGCACTATGCCCGTCCCTGCCTCCCTGGGGTGGCGGTGTGGGAGTGCTGTCTGGCCCAGCAAATGCCTGCCACCCCCTTTCCCTCCCATGAGCAAAGTGCTCCCTGCACACTCCTGTCTTGGCCAGCAGCCTCGCTCCGCTCTAGGCTCCCTGGCACCTGCAGTGGCCCCATCGCTCCCTGTCCAGCTGGGTTAGGGTCTCTCAGGAATTCCACTGCGGAAGTCAGCAACCCCCTCCTTCCCCAGGCCCTCTGCCAGAGTCCATGGCTGACCCAGGGCACCGACCATGACAGGTGCCCAAGCAATGAGGGCTCTGCAATATTCCCCATTCTTTAAGATCCGTCCCCTACCCTCTGCCACCTTGCAAGGGCCACCACCCAGAAGTGCTTGCTGGCCAATGGCCACTTGTGGGAGTGACCCAGCCCATGGAAAGAAATACAAAGAGGCCTTGCCACTTGCGGCGATGGGCTGTGGGGGGTGGCAGGCTGCTAGGGGAAGCCCCCCCATTCCCCCGCTCACGTTGTCGAGCCCTCCAGCTTGCCGTAGAGCCAGCCGTTCTGCGCCTCAGGCACAAGCACCTCCACGACGTCCCCAGCCGAGAAGCGCAACAACGTGTGGTTGGCGCCCTCCGAGTGGGAGACAAGAGCGCGTACCCTCCTGGCACCGCCGCCGCTGCTGTAGAGCGAGGCTGCAGGGCGGGACGGCGTGTGTGAGCGGCCAGCTCAGTCCTGGGGGCTCTGGTCCCCCGCCGTCTCCCCGTTGCCATCCCAGTGCCCCGGCAAGGGTACTCACTGGCCGACGGCGTCCGGGGCAGGGACCTGCGCTCTAGGTCCAGCTGCGACGTGGACCTCGCCTCGGTGGCAGGCTCGGGGCCAGGGCCAGGGCCGTAGGAGCCGGAGCTGTGCCGGCTGCGGGGGGCGCCGAAGTCGCCCAGAGGCCGCTGGGGCTGGGGGGGAGAGGGCGGGGAGGTGGGGCGGGGAGGGGCCGCAGGCTAGTAGTCCAGCCCCTACCCCCAATCCCAGGCGGCGTAGGGGCTGCGGAGCCGCCCGGGCCACCAGGGCGGTGCAGACACCGCGCCCGGGCGCCAGGGTGGGCCGAGGGGAGCAGCATAGGGTGGGAGGCTCCAGGCGGGGGGCGTCAGGCCCCAGGACCCAGCGAAGGGTGCTGGGGGCGCGAACGGTGGCGGGGGCGCCCAGAGCCTCACCATGTCCAGGCGGGTGGGTGTCAGGCGGCCCGAGGGGTAGGGCGGCCCCAGCACGGGCCCCAGCAAGCCCGGGGAGTGGGCCCGCGACGGGCCGCGGCTGGCCTCTGACTGCTCCTTCCACAGCAGCACACGGTTCTGCAGCGTCCCCCGGGCCTGGCCAAGAGGGACACTGGGGTCAGTCAGGTCCCAGTGGCCCCAGATCCCTGGTGGACCTGAAGGCGTGCAGGCTGGGAAAAGCCAGATGAGTGAGTTCAAGCAGGTGGGATGCGGCCGAGGCTTGAGTCGGGCTCCCACCCCCTGCTTTTTCAGGGTGCCCAGTTTTCCTCCCACAGTATCCCCCGACTCCTAGCCAGCCTAGTGCCAGCAGTGGGCCACCTTTGGCATCCAGGCCTGGCACTCCAGCCCGCCAGCTTCCTGGCTGTGGTAGTGAGAGCAGGATTGACATCCAGGACCTATGACCAAAGAACCCCATCCCAGTACTTAACTGTGGAACAATCTGAAAAAAAGGGGATGGGGTAGGTTCTTTTACTTCCAGAGGCTTGCTAATGCAGGTGACGGGACACCAACACGGAAGCTAACTCAGGTTTTGTGGCTGTGTTCACTCTTCCTGGACCCAGCTCCCTCGGACACCCCTCCCCCTGGTGGCGGGCAGAAGTAGCAGCCCCTTCTAACAACCCCGGAGGGTCCTGGAGGCAGCTTTGCAGACACGGCTGCCCCAGACCACATGGGCACAGGCTCCCCAGCGCAGGCCCTGCCTTCTAGGGCAGGAAGCAGCTGCCGAGCAGCCCTTGTCTCTCCAGCCCCTTAGCTACCCTTGGAGGGGCTGCCCCCTTCTGGCATAGGGGGCCTGGCATGGCTGGGCACAGCCCACACCCACAGCTCCGGCACACTGGCAGAGCCCATGCCATTCTTCCAGCCCTGCTCCCACTCGCCCACCTGCCTCGCCCATTCTCATGCAGACCACAGCAGAGGCGCTGAGCTCTGTTTTCCTCTCATTTTGTGTTATGAATATCTACTTCATTTATTTGAAAGACAGGGGGAGAAAGAGGGGAAGGGGAAGATCTTCCATCCACTGCATCGCTCCCCAAATAGCCACAAGCGCCAGAGCTCAGCCAGGACGAAGCCAGGAGCTGGGAGCTTGGATCTCCCATGTGGGTGGCTGGGCAGTCTCCTGCTGCCTTCCCAGGTGAATTAGTGGGAAGCTGGACTGGGAGCGGAGCAGCCGGGACTCTAACAGGCCTTTTGATACGGGCGGTCAGTGGTGTCAGCAGTGGCTTCACAGGTCGTGCCCCATCCCACCCTCACCCCTTTTTGGCCCCTTACCAGATCCTGATACTTCCCTGTGGGCCATGGTGTGCCCCTTTCTTTCTTGGGCACTGTCAGTAATAAAACTGGAATGGGCGCTGGCTTCTTCATGTTGTCACTCAATCTCCTCTGCAGCTTAAATCCCAAATGCTCCCAAAAGATTGCTGTCCACACTGACCGCTGCTTTTCTATGCCCAAGATCCGCCCCCAACCCCCAGGTCTGGTTTAAGATCGTCATGTAAGGAACAAGAAGCACGTTCCCTTGGCTGAACCTTCGCTCTGGGCCAGGCTCTGCACTAAATGCCTCCATCTCCAGCCAGGCGCTCGTGCGCAGTACACAGCCAGCCCAGCCTGGCCAGGAGGCCCCGTCTGCAGCTGTGTTTCTGATGAGCCACATGACGGCCAAGGGGCACCAGGCAGTGGTGCTGCAGGCAGTCTGAGACCGGAGGGTCAGACTGCAGAGAGACTCCCAGCCCCACGCAGAGCCAGAAGCCAAAGTCTGAAGACATCTGGCCAAAGCCACGCGGCATCAGGGCAGAGAGGAGGTGAGGAAGCGGGCAGCTGCAGAGCTGCAGGACCCAGAAGCAGGTGCTGCTCACGTCACGGCTCAGGGGGCTGGGCGGGAAAGTAGGGGGAGGATGGGATGTCATCTCTGAAGATGGACATGTAGGCTGTGACTGTGAGGTCACCCTGGGACAGCAGCAGAGGACAGCAGAATCCACAGAGCAGTGAGAGAAGGCACGGTAACGCAACCCAACTGCAGAGAAGGAAAATGGAAGGAAAGAAAGAGATGAAGTGAGCAGAGCTGGCTCAGCAATGGGACAGGGAGATGAAGACCACGCATTCAGGGCTGTGCCAGGTGGGAGTGGGCAGGGATTGCTCTGTCTCCACACACTATCAGACTGCTCAGAACCCCAAACTTGATTGTGCACAACACACTTATAAGGAAGAGAGAGCAGGAGTGTTATGTTAATTTCAGATAAAGTGAAACTGAAATTTTAAAGAGCGATATTAAGCACAAAAATAGCGACATTTATGCAAACAGTATGATCATCCTAATCTTCAAAGTGCCAACTACAATGATAAAAAGCCCATTAGAAAATTAAGGGGAGCTGGCAGAATCTGCTGAGCTCAGTGGGCACAACAGAGCAAAAGCCTAGCAGATTTCAACATGATGAAGTTCATGGGCAGTAACAGAACAGATCTGTCAGTGGCTGAATTTGTGAATGGTGGACACACACCTACAGCAGTGAACAGCTACGAGACTCACACCTGAATAAGCACGGCTCAGTGAATGCATGTCCATAGGTAATGATGAACAAATGAATGAGTGTGTGTGCCTATAAGGAACAGTAATGAATATGTCAAGAATGGATGATGACATATAATACACTGAGGAGACGGTGAAGGGATGAGTGGCAAGGCAGGGACACCCTTGGGCTCACGCAGGTGCAGCCCTGAAGGGCCCCACGCGCTCGCACCCAGCCCCGGCTTACCCGACCGAAGAACTGCAGGAAGGTGTTGGACAGCAGCAGGTGCTTCTCGGCCAGGAAGCGGTAGCGCCGTTTCTCCTCCAGCTCAGCCGCCCGCTGGCTCTCGGACACAAAGGCTTGCATCTGGGCGTGCAGCCGGTTCACGCTCTCCTGGGGGACAGGCAGTTCTAGCTGGGGGCAGTAGCTGAGTGTCCCATCCCATCCCCATGGAGGCCAGCTCTTTGCAGCGTTCTGTCTTTCCAGACCCAGCCCCCAGCCACCTCCTCCTGGAAGCCTTCCTTGTCCAAGTACCCAGGCCATCCTTATTCCTGGGGTGGCTCCTTCGTGGGCATCCTCAGCTCCCTGAGTCTGGGCCCAGCATGTCACTGGCCCAGACACTTCTCCCCAGGCAGGGCAGGTGCTGGGCCAGGTGGGCTCCAGTGGTGCCGGGGATCCCTGCCCCATCCCAATCCCCACACCTTCATCTCACGCGCATTCTTGTCCCTCTTGCGCTCCATGCGCCACAGCTCGGACATGTACTTCTCCAGGTTGGCAGCTCGGTGGCGGTACTCGATCTCATAGTGCTGGCGACTGTCCTGTGGCGGAGTTGGAAAGGAGGGAGGATCCCCAAGGGTCACAGAGCTCAAGACACCTGAGCCATGGGCCCCAGCCTGGAATGAGGCATGACCTGGGGGCAGGCCTCAGTGTGCCCATCTGTGGAATGGGGACAGGTGGCCCCCCACCCCTGAAGGGCCAGACTCACTTTGATGAACTGCATGTCCAGCTTGGTGTTTTTCTCCATATGCTGCAGCAAGTCCCCGTGGAAGGTCTGCACCTGCATGGGGTGCAGGGTGGGGGTGGTCAGAGCGGCCCCAGCACCTCCTTCACTTTCCAGACAACCCTCTGCCCACCACACTCCAAGCACATCAGTTGCGGGTCTACCTGTCACAGACACAGGGATGTGAAGGGGGAGGAGGGAGGCTGGAGGGAGGGGTGAATGGATCGGTGCAGGAGCTGGCCCAGAACATGCCCTTGAGCAAAGAGCTGGCATCTTCTAGTGCTTACCTTCAATCTTCTACTTGGTCTGTGTTTTGTTGGTGTCACACCCTTGACCTGGAGCTCCCCTCTTCTCTGCACCCTCAAATGCCAGCTGCCGCACCCCCTCTGTTGGGGATCCCTCCCTGGGTGGACTCATTACCCCTTGCTTTGTTCCAGAACCATGCACACATTCGCTTGCTCCTCTCCCACACCGCTGGGTCCCTCGGTTGCCCCACTGTGCTAACTGTGGGTGTGAGTCAAGCCTGGTGCAGCCTGTAGCCTCAGCACCATGGAGATGGCCTCGCCCCACAGAAGTGCCCACTAACAGTCGCAGGTTCATGGTGAAGGCAACAAGTGGGTGCCTCTCCCCTGGGGGGCGCCGCTGAGCCCAGCTCTGGCTCTGCTATGTGACTATAGGAGCCCTGTCCCACTCGGAGCACCGGCTGCTGCATCTCTAAGAGGCTGTCTTTGGCCAGAACCTTTCTAGGCACCTGTTGACCTCTGATGGCATGTCACTTCTGCCTGCCACTGTTTCCCTGAGCCACAGGCACTGTGTACTGGTGGGGTGGAGTGGTGTTCAGGTCACACAGAAATACACAAGTGCTCCGCCCCTTTCTTGGACACATCCACCTCAGGACCGACTCTCCTGCGCAGCCTCCCTGTGCACGTCTGTAGCCCTTCCCCAGCACACAGGCCTTCCTCCCACCTGGCTAGGGCATCCCTCAGGAGAGGAATACTGGGATGTTGCTCTCTATGCACATTCAGCTGGGCGATTGGGATGCTAGGATCCCACATCCAGGTACTCGGGGTTCCACCCCCAGCTCCAGCTTCTGCTAATGCAGACCCTAGCAGGCAGCGGGGGTGGCTTGAGGCTCTGGGTCCCAGCCAGCCCTCTGGGGTGCCAGCTTAGGTTCCTGACTTCAGCTTGCTCCAGCCCTGGCATCTGGCACATGGGAATGTCCCCTGCCTTTCATCACCTCTCAAACACATACATTTACAAAACATTTTAAAAACTTGGGAATTGGGTGGCACTGCAGTGCAGCAGGCTAATCCTCTGCTTTGTGCTGCCAGAATCCTACATGACAGTACTGGTTCGGGTCCTGGCTGTTCCACTTTCCATTCGGCTTCCTGCTCATGCTTTCCTGGCCTTTCAGCCATTTGGGAAGTGAGGCAGCAGATGGAAGACATTCTCTCTCCTTCTCTCTTTGTAAAATCTGCCTTTCAAATTTAAAAACCTTACAAGTTGTTGAGTTTGAGTTTTAGAATTTTCCATTTAATATTTTCAGACTGGTTGGCTGAGAGCAATTTAAAAAAAACACATATTTATTTGAAAGGCAAAGTTACAGAGAGAAAGAAGGAGACAAACAGGAAAAGTACAAAACCTGCCATGCTTTTGTGCACTCCCCAAACAGCTGCCTGGGCTGGGACAGGGCCAGGCTGAAGCCAGAAAGCAGGAGCCTCACCCAGCTCACCCATGTGAATGTCGGAGGCCTGAGCGCTTGGGTCATTTTCTGCTGCCTTTTTAGGCGCATTAGCAGGGAAATGATTGGGAAGTAGAGCAGCCAGAACTCGAACCAGAACCTACATAGGATTTTGGCACTAAAGGCAATGGCTTAACTTGTTCTGTACAGTGCAGGCCTCCATTTAAATGTTTTTAAATATTTATTTGAAAGGCAGAGACAGAGAGCGAACAAGCTTCCATCTATTGGTTCACTCCCCAAGTAGCCACAAAGGCCAGTGCTGAGCCAGGCCAAGCAGGAGCCCAGAGCTTCTTCCAGGTCTCCCATGTGGTAAAAGGGCCGACACACTTGGCTCATCCTCTGCTACCTTCCCAGGCCGTTATCAGGGAGCTGGATCACACATGGCGCGGCCAGGACTCAAACTGGTGTCCATGGGGAACGGTGGTGTTACAGGTGGGGGCAGTGGTGCCGCCTTCCCCTCTGTCCCACCCAGAGTGAAGTTTTCCTCCTGCCATGACCTTGATAACTGCTGGCATTCCAGGAAGCTTGAGCTACATGTGTGTTGGAGAGGTATGTGTGGCTATGGGAATGTAAAACAGAAACATCACGGAGAGGCTTCTGTCTGGGGTGGCACTGGACCCAGTAGGAAGGAAGAGTTCCCTGCATGGATGTGACCCTCCAGTTCTATCTTCTTGTTGCATCCTTACTTGTCCCACCCACTTCCTGGCTCTGCCTCTTGCCCACTCCTTACAATTGCCCAACATAAACCACACAGCTTACAGAAGCTGGGCAGGCCCTCGGCCTCAGAACCCCGGGTCAAGGCAGGCAGCGGGAAGCAGAGAGGGGCCAGCTGTTGTTGGGTGAGACAGGCAGGAGGAAATGACATTGTGGTTAAACTACCACCTGGGAAGCTGGTATTCCAGATTGTTACCAGTCCCTTTCCTGGCTGTCCCACTTCTGATCCAGCCCCCTGTTAATGTGCCTTGCAAAGCAGCAGAAGAAGGTGCAAGTGCTTGGGTCCCCACCAGCTACATGGGAGACCCAGACAGACAAAAGCTCCTGGCTCCTGGCCCTTGCAGCCACTTAGAGAGTCAACCAGCAGATGGAAGAGTTCTGTTTTTCTGTCTCTCTCTCTCTGAAACTCTGCATTTCAAGTAAATAAATAGACCTTTACGAAAACAACAGCAGACAATCATACCACATGTAAGGTGCAATTCATGGCCTTGCTTTTATGATTTTTTTTTTTAATCCAGGTGAAGAGTGCTTGTTGTCAGGGCAGGGGGCACGTGAGTGTCAAGGGCCTGAGCATTTGGGTTTTCCACTGCCTTTTTAGGTGCATTAGCAGGGAAATTATTGGGTAGTAGAGCAGCCAGAACTTGAAGCAGTACCTACATGGGATTTTGGCACTAAAGGCAATGGCTTAACTCATTGCCTTTCCCTTGGGTGGTCTTTATTCTGACTGTTCCTGCTAGGAAATGGTGCCCACAGTAAGATGCCTCCTGTGTCACATGGTACAGCTCCACATGCCTCCAGCTGTGCACAAACTGAGGCATACCACAGAAGCGACCCTTAGATGGGACAGCCCTGACCCCTCTGGCAGTGTGTGGCTGTGACCGCCAACAGGCAGAGAACACAGGCCCAAGATGCCTCAGGCCATGCAGCACAGGTGGATGGAAAGCTGTTAAGCTCCTGAGAAATGGGTCCATTGAGAGGCAGACACTTGGGACGGCTGCTGTGGCACAGTGTATTAAGCCATCATTTGCAATGCTAGTATCCCACAAGTTACAGTCCCAGCTGTTCCACTGCCGATCTACCTCCCTGCTGATGTACTTAGGAAAGCAACGGAGGAGCATGCAGATGCTGGAGCCCCTGCTATCCACACGAGACCTTCATGAAGTTCCTGGCTCCGGACTTTGGCATGGCCCAGCCCTGGCTGTTATGGCCATTTTGGGGAGTGCCACCATTCCAAATCCCACAATCAGACTTCAGGACGCCGGCGACTCCATCCCACCCTTCGACATGGCTGACTAGCTGAAAATTCCTCCTCATTGCCATCTCTCCTCTCCTCCCATCCTGGCTACCTCCACAACTTCTCAGGCCCTTGGCTGTCTGATCCTGTAAGCACCACCACCACATGGCGCAAGCAGCCTCCTTTGTCCCTGTCTACGCCCTGAGCGCACTCTACCCGTCTACCTGGGCCACTCACCCTGATCCCGCTCTCGGCCATGCCATGGCCTCTCCCACACCTCTGACTGCCTTCCACACAGAGCCTGAGCTGACCACAAACCCACTTGCCTAGGTGGCCTAGTTACTCCTGACGTGTCCCTTCCCATCCACCAGAAAGCCTACCTTTCCACAATGCTGCCCAGCACGGCCATGACAAGGTCAAGATCATTGCCCTGGCCTCCTGACTGGTCATCCTGCTGCCTTCACCCACCAGCCCTGAATTTTTATGCCCAGTGCAGTAGCCAGGCAGCCTCCTAAAGCGTAAGTAACGAACAACTGAAAAATGTGATGAATGACGCCTGGTACCATGGTTTCAGAAATCATCAAATAGAGGCTACAGGTAGGCCGAGTAGTTCCACACCAGGGAGACAGCTGTGGCCCACACTAGGTTCCTGGGGTATCCAAGGGCCCACACTTCCTGCCAATACAGATCTCGGAAAGCAACATTATGGCTCAAGTGGTTGGATTCCTGCTGCCCACCTGGGAACCTGGGGTTACATTCCCAGCACAGTTTTGGCCTTGGTCTTCCCTAGCTTTTCCAGGCACTTGGGGAGGGGGGCGTGAATGAGAGCACTCTTGCTCTCAATCTTTCTTTCTCTCAAATAAATAACTACAACTTTACAACAAAAGAAAGATCAGATATTTAAGAATAAATCATTCAAAAGATGTGTAAAGTAGGGACCAGACCGGTGTTTGCAGCACAGTACATAAAGTTGCTGCCTGTGGTGCCAGCTTCCTACATGGGCACTGATTTCTGTTCTAGCTGCTCCACTTTCAATCCAGCCCCTGCCAGTGAAATGAGGGAGGCAGCAGATGGCCAACACTTGGGCCTCTGTCACCCATGTGTGAGACCCTGCTCTCAGTCTGGCTCTACCCAGGCTATTGTGCCACTTGGAGAGTGAACCAGTGAGATGGAAGATCTCTCTGTAACTCAAATAAATAAATAAAATAAAATCTATATTTTTAAAATGTATAAGACAGCTATGCTGAAAATAACAAAACTCAGCTGAGACAAATAAATGAAGAGGTATACCAGATTCATGGATTGCAAGGTGCGATATCTTCAAGATAACCATTGATTTCTAGCTTAACACAATCCTTGTAAAATCCC